TTTGTTCTCTCAAATCTGACCTTGCCTCCACCCACAACTAATGAGTATATATAGAGGAGGTGGAAATTAGGGTTAGGGTTTTTAGGAAATCCCTCAAATGGGCTTGAGCTTAGTATTGAAGGAGGAAGCCCAACAAAAAGTTTGCCAACAAAAGATTGGATCAACTCATGCTCCATGGAGGACCCTATTTGCCCGACCTGTCAGCAGGAGAAGGAATGTTTGCTGAATATTTTTCAAGATTGTCTGGTGATCCGTGAAATTTGATATGATCTCTTGCCATATGATAGGGTAGCTTAGTTTTTTATGCCATTGGGATGATTGGGTGATTGATAATTAGAGTTGCGATATCATGAGTGTGGTTTGTTGTTGGTATATTTGGTGTCGAAGTGTTTGTCTTTTTGAAGGACATAGAATTGTGCCATTTTAGTCAAAATTAAAGTGTTTTATGGTGAAAGAAAGAATTACATTGGGTGCAGCTCAGTTGGTAACTTGGCGCTGAGTTAGTGGGGTTGGATATGTGTTCGATTCCCGCTGAATGCATTCTTGGGGAGGGGGCTGAACCTTTAGCCATCACTGTTCCCCCGCACTCCGGATTAGTACCGTAGCCGGCTCAAAGAGTCGAAGCTCGTGGGGATACCAGAGGGAGCCAACTCGTCTCAAAGAGATAATTAGGGTTGAGTAACTCCAAAAAAAAAAAAGAATTACACAATAGAAATTATGGTGGGAGAATATAAATTTTTTTAATTTAAATATTAAATAAAAAAGTCATTTTAATTAAAATGGTTGTCCTTTAAATGGACTAATATTTTTCCCTCCACATAATGGGTTTTTCGTGTCAGAACTAAGTCAAATATGCACAAAAGAAAAAGAAATAATGTATAAGTGTGAAAATGACAATTTATTTTAAAAACCAAGGAATTGTTCTAGTGGTGGTCAATGCCGATATAAGGAAGGTACTCTTTAATTTTTTTTTTTTTTTAAGGAAATTAGTTCTCGTAGAGAATTACTGACGACAGACTTAATTTCTTTAGTAAGTTGCAAGAGTATCAAATGATCAATTTTTTTTTTTTTTTTGTAACACAAATGATCAAATTTTAGTGTTAAAAAAAAAGGGACCAATGCATCAAATCAAAGTTGACTTATATATATACACCAGTGAAAAATGATTTTGGCCCTATGTATGGCAGGATATTCTTACATCGATGTAAGAATAATAAATCTTACATTCAATTTTAACCATTAATTTTTATAAATATGAAGGTTACAATTTATTAAGAATTGATATTTAATTAATAAAAATAACTCAATCAATCACAGTCATATGATGAACGGACATCAATGACTAAGATTGAGTGTAATATTTGTTATTCTTACACTGGTGTAAAATGATACTGACCTTATATAGGGCAGGATCTTCTTACATCGGTATAAGAATAATAAATCTTACGCCCAATTTTAACTATTAATTTTCGTAAATATGACGATTATAATTTATTGGAAATTAATATTTAATTAATAAAAATAACTCAATCAATAACAATCATTTGATGAATGAAAATCAACAATTGAGTGTAAGATTTGTTATTCTTACATTATTGTAAAATGATCCTGACCCTATATATATTGAGAAAATATATTAAAATAGGTAGTTACAAAATCATAACCGTTGATTTACCTTTGTATGGTTGTGATCTTCTCACATGACCATGTCATGTTTTTTCTCACATTAGAGGATCCATTTCCAAGTTACATTCTCAATCTTGATAATTGATCTTATTTACATATAACAGTTCTGATTTATTAGATATTTGAGTCATTAGATGCAAACAAATCAACGATCGAGCTTTGATATAAGACTTTTTATTCTTATACTGGTGTAAGAGTATCCTGCTCCCCGTACATATATATACGAGTATGAAAAAACTAAAGAAAAAAAAAAGATTTTTCCTTGCGTTTGACCTTCGAAAAGAACATTTACGAAAAGTGATTGAAATAAGTTTTGGAGCGTGTTGGACATATCTTTTTTTAATTTAAAGTTATTTTAAGTTAAAGTTAAAAACAAAGAGCTTAAAAAATAAAGGTAAAACTTGTTTGGTGATTATGTAAATGTGTTTTGAGGGTTTTAAATGAGAGGAGATGAAATAATTTCTTATTAGGATGAATTATTAAGATAAAGAGTAAAATTGGTAAAACAAATTTAAAATACATGTGAAATTGGAATAAAAATATAAAAAATTCTAAAAAACTAGTATATATCTTAAAAAAAACTCATTTGTGAGCTTTTAGCTTTTACTTTTTTTATTCATTATAACAAAAAGCTCTTTTTATAATAAGATATTTTGTAAATACATATTTGATTAAACTTCTACTTATAAGGATAAAAGTTCAAAATAATATTTTCAAAACAGGCACTTGATTATTACTCTTAATCCTATATTTATTTGATTTAAACTATGGGTTTTATTAGTGTTATGTAACATAATGTAAGTGTTATTTCCAACTCTCACATCAAAAGAGAGAGAAAGTGGAATGATGAAAGAGAAAGAAAAACATGTGGACCCCACCTCTTTAATGTGTGTGTAGGAAAGTAAAGTTATATTATGTTAAATGATAAACATAAAACCCTTAAACTATATTGCATCTTTTTCTTGCGTTCAAAACATCCATTCGTGGAGAGAGAGATCTTTCAAAGAACAAAACTTTATTCACGCTTTTTCTTTTCAAAGATCGGTATTTTGTATGTTTGTTTTATTCTTATTTTCAATATTAAAGAATAAATTTATTTATTAATTGAGAACAGCTTAAACTAATCTAATGGCTATACAAATAGGCTTTAATGTTTCTAAAGTGAATGTAGATAAGTTATCTACATTCGCTCCCAAAACGACGTCGTTTTGGGTTAAAAAATTAAAAAATTATAATGAAAAAGACTATTATAACTCTGAAATAAATTATAATTACAAAAATACCTTGATTTTCGCCTCAAAACGACGTCATTTTGGGCTCACTGTAGATAAATTATCTACATTGACTGTAGAAAAAGCAAACCCATACACATAATGTACCTAAAACATACATCTATTCTTTACTCAGCCAAAAAGAATATATCTAGATACATCAAGATGTATAAATATTGGGATAAGATAGTGTGACAACCAAGTAGAGTTACGACCAAAGTTACTACCAATCAATCTCGCCGTTAGATTGGTAGTAGCGATCCGACGGTCCGCATTGAATTCTTAAAAGCTCCTTCATCTTCGCTTCTTTCTCTCCACCTTCTCTCTCTTCCCTTCTCTCTCTCTCTCTCTCTCTCTCTTACACTCTGCCGCCGCTGATCTTTCCCATAGCCTCCGTCGTGACGGCGCCGCTGCCCATAACCTCCGTCCCGCCGCCGCCGCTGCATCCCGCGGAGAGCTTCGCCGAATACACGAGATAAGGTTCGATTTTTACCAGATTCGATTTTTTGAGCAGATCAATTATCGCGGTTCTAGTTCGATTAATATTTGAATACAGATGGTGAACCTTTATCGCAAAACATCTCTTTTGTGGTCTTATCAGCGAAGAACAGTTTGGTTTCTCCAATTCTGTTAAAAGGAGTTTTGTAATTGAACCCGAAAAACTTAATTGTGATAACTAATTAACTTAAATTCTGTTTGCCAACTTTTAAATCTTTAGTTTCATTCTCAAAAATGCTTGGATCATAATAGACTTACAACTTTTGCTTAGATATTTGATAAGAGTGTCAGAAAAACACAAAGGTATTTTAAAATTTCTATAACATCTCCAGACTTACATTTGGCAATTAAAATGTAATGCATCCAAACATAAGAGGGGTGTTGGGGTTATGAGAGTTGTGAGACAGCATCTGTTCTCGAATTCTGTAAGTCTATTATGTTGCGACAGAGGCTTTGGGCAAGATCGGTGGCGACAGAGTGTATGAGTGAGAGAGAGAGAGAGAGAGAGAGAGAAGGGAAGAGAGAAGGGGGAGAGAAAGAAGCGAAGACTGAGGGGCTTTTAAGAATTCAATGAGGACCGTCGGATTGCTACTACCAATCTAATGATTAGATTGATTGGTAGTAAAATTGGTTGTAACTTTACTTGGTTGTCACAATATCCTATCCCATAAATATTTAGATGATTTAAACCGCTACTAAAGAAATATGTATGTATTCTACAAAATTCATGATGCGGATAAAATATATTTATGTATGTATATTTTAATCTTATATATATATTATATAACTATATAATTGAGTAGAGGTGTGAATAAATCAGACAACATGACATAAGCTGAGTCTAGCTTAGTATTTGTTGTAAAATAAAATTGGATCAGTTTCTAAACAATATTCGTTTAGAAAATAGGTAGGTCATAGGCCTACATTTATAAGGCCTAGGCTTCAAGCCTATAACTGCTTATATCATATTATTTTTTCTAATTATTAAAGGTCTAATAGATTTAAATAGACTAATAAACCTAAGTTACACCTCTTGATTTTTAAATATAAGTAATGTCAGATTAACTTACACCAAACTAATAAGCTTAATTACGTCTCAAAATATTTTACACAACCTATTTAGACTAAAGTTCAACTTGACCAAACCCATTTCCACCTCTAAAGTTAAGGATATGCAGCAACAAACATACAAATCAAATAAATTTATATCAGAGCAAAAAAATCTTATCAATTTTAATATGAAATCATAAAAAATTATGGCTAAATCTTTATCAAAAATTTGTTCGCCAAAAAATGAACGGTGAAAATGGCCGTATTGATTTGCGTAAGCACTCGTAAATTTCTGTTTGTGTGTTGCTTGCTAAGGCGTGCATTTTAGCTAAATTTAATAACATTATTTTTCTGAAAACTGTTTGAAGTTTATCTTATGCTAAAAATGTGTAAGCTTACGAGAATTGTTGATTTAATTTAAAAAATTCAATGCTTTAACAAAGTTTAAAAGGTTAAACAGTAACTTTAATGCTCCGCATCAACTCTCGACAATTCAATTTTTGCACACAAGTGCGACCCCTACAGATAACTAGCACTATAATATCAAGATGATCAACTAAAGAAACCGAGCCAATGGTCAAAAGATAATCAACAAAAGTCCTCACATGTACAATGCCCGTCTTTAAAATGGTGAAAGAAATTTGGGTCCTTGAGGATGATTTCCCTCTTCATCATCTTGGATACAAACTTCGCAAAATCGTGGCAGCCATGACACACCCGAGAATTTTTGACAAGACGGATAGGTCCAGCCTGTGAACTGATGAGCCCAAAAGCAAGTGCCAGGAGTTCACTATGCCCAATCTGAATGCACTCCCTCTCTTCATCTACATCATGGAGACTGAAATCCCACTTTAGTTCAAGTCCTTTGGTTCTCATTTCCTCCATGAAACCCTGTAATGCAGAATATATTATCCCTGATCTTGGATGAGATACATCCCCAGTTCCAAATACATGAACTTTATTCCTGAACAATGTCCAAGTATAAGCCTTTTTCGGTTTCAAACCCATATCTCTAATTGTTTCTTTTAACTTGTCCACCACGTGCCATTTTGCACTGGCCGCATACCAATTCAGAAGTAGCACGTAGTTCTCAGCATTTAGAGGTTCCAACTCACAAAGCTGTTCAATGAGTTGCTTGCCTAGAGTATATTGACCATGAATCCTACAACCTTCTAGCAGTTTTCTCAATACCTCAGGATGCTTTCCTATCTTCTGTTCCTCGATAAAGATCCTTGCCTCATTGAAGAGTCCACAACGTGCTAGCAGAGACACCTTTAGAGCACAGTGTGCAATTGTGGGCGCCCTAATACGGTTAAAGTAAATCTTTCCTTCCTCAGCCATGCGTGCGGTGCTGCAAGCATGAAGGGCAGCAGCATAGGCGTGGTCATCTAGCTGTACCTTTGAGTTGTTCTCAATCTGTCTAAACAAATCAACTCCAAGCTTTCCTTGTCCATGTAAACTATATCCCAATATCATCATGGTCCATGAAATAGTATCTTTTTCATTCATTTCAGAAAAAATATTTGAGGCACAAGTGATAGCTCCTGATTTGACATACATGTCCATAACTGCATTCTTGACCTTGAGGTTAGAGTTAATCCCATTTCTAAGCAAGTAGGCATGAATTTCTCTACCGTGTTTAAGTGAAGCAATTCTTCCACATGCAGGAAGAATGCTAGAGATTGACAGCGAATCCGGTTTCAATCCATCCAAGTTCATCTTCCGGAACAATTTAAAAGCCTCATTGAATCCTCCTTTCTTCACATAAGCACGGATCATCATTGTCCACGAAATAACATCCTTAGAAGGCATCTGCTCAAACACCAATCGAGCTTCCCTTATACTACCACAATCAATATACACCTTCAACAGCGAGTTACTCACTAAAACATCAAACTCCAACCCACAATTCCTAGCAATCTCATGCACATTCCTACCATGCTGCAGAGATTTCATCATCCCACAAGCACTGCACGCCATTGATAACGCCACAGGATCAACAACCATACCTTGATCCACCATCTGATGAAACAAATCAAGGGCCAAACTAGGCTTCCCTTCATCAATATACAACCTAGCAAGCAGTGTCCAACAAACCAAATTCTTACTAGTGGACTTGTCAAATATTGTTTGAGCCAAATCAACACTACCGAGATGGCCATACATCTCAATCAATGCAGTTACAGCATATTGATCAGAGGAGAACCCGAGTTTCAGAGCATGGCCATGAAGTTGTTTGCCAATGGACAAATCACCCATGAGGCGAGAAGCATCAACAACCCGAGGAAGAGTGTGCCTATCAAGGCGAACACCACGTTGAAGCATTTGGGTGTAGGTAGAAAGAACAAGGTTGCAATCATTGTTTGCGAGATGGGTCTGAATGAGGGTGTTCCAAGCAAAGGTGTCCCATAGGGGAATTTCGTCGAACAGGTGGGGGCTGAGTGAGGTGGGTGCTAATGAAATTGCACGTCGGAGATAACGAGGGTTATTACTGATTTGGACGAAGGTGGGTGTGAATTTTTCTGATGGGAAGAATCGAAGAATCGTTGCGGATTGGAGAATGTCCATGTTGATGCGTTTGGGATCAGCTCAAGCCAACACACACTTGTTTTGGTATCATCACCGCCCAAAACGATCACGTTCAATGTTGTTTCGTTAGCTCAAATCTAAGAAACCGCGGGTTACATATCCTACTCATGCGACCTGTCGTTTGGGTCGGTGAATGATGCCATCTATTTTCTTGCATTTTTTTGACATAAAAGTTAAAAGTTAAATAATTTTCTGTATTTATTTAATGAATTAAAAAATAATTAAAATAATATGCAACAATCAAGTTTAAAAATTACAACACATTTTTCTTTTTATTTTTTTAATAATTTATTTCTAATTTACACATATATATATTTAGAATGACTCAATATTCTTTGTAATGCCCCATCTGCACCTGGTTAATTAACATTCACACGATAGTAAGCGCAACATGCTCAAGTTAATTAATGTGGAAGCTAACTAAATAAATTTTCTATTTTTTCTTATGTATTACAAATTTTTTCACTTCCATGGCCAAAATAAAACGAACACCATTTCGTCTGTATTTTGGATCACTTGAGATAATTTTCACCATGATAATTTTAACCTGATTGACAGTTTAATATAATTGAGGCATACCACAACATAGACAAATCATATTGCCCAGCCATCCATGGCCTAGGCTATCTCATAATCATACGGTCTCAAAATAATGTCCATCATGTTACTTATATAATTACATCGAATAAACAAATAAGATGCAATTAAATAAGTAACATAGACCAGAGCATGCATCACAAACAACATATACAGACTATTGGCATGACATAAACACTCTCTATGCTCTCCAAAAGAATAACATGGTATATATACATATCCAAAATAAAACCATGCCAAATAGCATAACAAACTAATCCAACTATCAAGTCAGGTAATATCTCTCGTTTGGCTTCTTGCCACGCGATGCCTCAGCATCATCAGCTCCTGTACCTGAAATGGTAATCCCCATAACGCGGGATGAGATAATATAATTACCTCAGTAAGCTAGGGACCCTTGGAGGGCTCCTCCATCCCTAAGCTTACTTCTGGTATAATAACAGTACATAAAATATCCATGCATACATTAGAATATGTATGACAATGCAGTGTACAAATAATAAATCCTACTGGCCAGAGAATATAACAAGTATGCATTACGCAAGGAAACACCGTCTTGCAACATACCATATAAGGAAACACTGTCTCATATTATGAATAAGCAAACACTGTCTTATGCCTCATACAAGGAAACACCATCTTGTTGAATCACAGGTCAAGAAGACTATGTTTATGAAGTTTTGAAGATAACAAAGCAACAAGTACCAACATAGCTCAACATGAAAGCTCTCCAAGAAAGGCAAGACAACAAGTTCTAAATGATACAAGAAGTCTATAACAAAGTGCAAACATGAAGAGAAGACTCAAATATGCAAAGTCAAAGCTCAAGTCAAAGATTTCAAGCTAAAAGGAGTACTAGAAGACTCAAACTATGAAAATCAATGGAGACTCAAGCACTTACTGGTTATATAGTACATTAAGAGTTTTATAACTTATTATGATTGAGTTTATTGAGTTTCTAACTTGCAAGTGCAAAAATAAACCAAAACCTCATATAGGTGACACATATTCACTTTGATCATGCATACAATGTTCACACACATCAAGACTTGTTATGCTAGTGCGAAACATGATCATACATATATTAGAAATCACTTAGAATCATTTGGAAGTTACTGGAAATCATAAAGTTGCATTAAATTTTGAAAAGTAATCGAATACTTGATGAACAGTATCCGAATACTTTCTGGGTTTGAAGAAGTATTTGAATACTCCCCGAAAAATAATCTAATACTTTCTGTTATTAGTGACTTAAACTCGAAGAAATTCAAATTTTTTGATGCCCAACGGCTATAAACGACTAATAACTCATTGAGCATCTATAAATACACATCTTTAGGGTTCTAACATTGAAACACTCAAAATCAAGAAATCTCAGAATTGAACCCATATTGGTTTGCTTTTGCACATCCTTGAGAAAAATCTCAACTACTTTCTTATCTCTAAATCTTTTTCAGTTCTTTCTTTTTTGTTTGAACGTAGAGAGGTGACTCTACATCTGTTTGGCAAAAGTGAATTGCTGTAATTGTTGGAAAGAAAATTGGAGTGACCCTAAAGGCTTAGGTTAAGTGTGATCCAGGTGTGATCATAGACTTGTAAAATTATAGTTGTAAAAAGGTTTCTTCAAGCACCTGTTGGAAGCTTGATGATAGTGAAAACGATCAACCTCAGTCTGGACGTAGCTCTCAAATGGTTTAGAGAGAGTGAACCAGGATAAACGCCAGTGTGATTCTTCTTTACCCTATCTCTTTTGATTTCTATCAATTAAATTTCATTTTGATTCTTGATATATGTCATATTGAATCTGTATAAAGGATTATGATCTTTACTTTTATGTTTTAATTCGTTCTTGCATGAATTCTTGAAAATGGTGAGCTTAAACATTGAAATTCTCTTATTTTCTCTTCAAATATGATCCGCTGCATATTCTCTCTGAATTGATGTTATAAGAATTGTTTTAATTCTGTTTTACATTGAGAAATAAGAATACATTCTGTTTGAATTGATTTTGGTTGATATACTTGTCAAAATTTGATTTTTGAATTGTTTCTTGAATTTCAAGTAACACACAATTCACCCCCCTTGTGTGATTGTTTAGCCATCTTTTCTTTTCACATCTTGTGTGGCACACCAACATATATACATATACATACAATATATAACAATTTATTTTCAACATACCATATCAAACTACCATCCTCCCTCGGAGTCTGGTGGAACAAACAAAGGAATAACCCCAAGGACCAAAAACTTACCTGTCAAGCACTGTCCTCCAATGCACTCCTTGTATCCAAGGATCTCTCATAATATTAATATGTGAAGACAATTAGTATATATATACTAGTCTACCACATTCAATTTTCAAGACTACACATACAAGACACTTACACTTGATTTTTAGTCCAATTCATCAAAGTGTTCTAAATGGAAATTTCATAATTTTTTCTTTTATGGGAACCAATCCCAAACATATTTAACAAAGGGACTCACCTACAAATTACCCTCCAACTACTTATACCATTTAATTTTCGAAATTGACATATAGAAAAAAATCATGATTTTCTATAGTGAGCTAAACAATGATTTCTTTCTTTTTTTTGTCCTTCATCGAGAAGCAATCATAAGCATATTTAACAAAGGAAGCTATATCCAAATCACTCTCTAACTATTCATACCATCAAATCCCAATTTATACAACCCTAAATCATGCATTTTCTCCAAAAACACAAGAGGGAGTTGATATAATTACCTTGGAAGCTTCAATCAACCCAAAGAGAAGCAACCCAACCTTTCTATCTCAGCTATACTCCTTCCCTTAGCTCAAATCCGAAAATGATTTCACCAAATGGGTTCCACTTTCTCTCACAACAACTCACTAATGGAGGAGGATGATAGGGATATAAAGAAGATGAAGATTAGTAGGTTGATCCTCTTGTTTCACAAGAATTTGCGGAAACACAAGAAGAAGAGAATTGAAATGCACACCTTCGGTTGAGAGAAAAAAAGAGTCGACGGGAATGAAAGTGAAATAAGAGAGAACGTGTTACTTTCTTCTTAAGTGGGTTTAAATAATCCAAGTGGATATAAATTTATCTATCCCGTTCACTTAACTCCCATTCTAACTTTACACATTGGTTCACAACATCTTTATGATAATATTTACCATTTTACTTTTCACTTTATGATAACTTTGCCTACCTATATTTTTATCCTTTAACTATCATTTTAACTTTTTTTTACCAAAAATGACTTTATTTCTTTTTCTTCTATTTTCCTTATAATTATTCTTCAATATTATGATTAAAATCATTAATTCATAATTAAATCCACTACTACATGTGAGGGTTAATATACTCACCCCACCTTTTTAGAATTTTGTCCACAAAATTATGATCATACCTAGAAACAAACTCAGGATATTGCCAGAGGTTCTCATCCTCACGCTCCTAAGTAGCCTCCTCGGGCGATCTGCCTTCCTACTGAATCTTAATCATCGAGATTGTCTTATTTCTCAATTTCCTTTTATCTCTGTCAAGAATTTTCCACCGCCCCACGGGAGTCTTAAGATTCTCTCGTATTTGAAGCTTGTTAGGTTGTACAACATGGGGTTAATCTTGAATATATCTCCGAAGCTGAGACACGTGGAATACATCATGAATACCGGATAACTGTGGAGGCAAGGTAAGCTGATAACCCACCGGTCCCACCCTTTTTATTATCTGATATGGATCGATAAACATGGGACTCAGCTTCCTTACACCAAGAGCACGCCTCACACCTGTCACTGGTGATAATCTCACAAAAATATGTTCACCCTCTGCAAACTCTAGAGGTCGATACTTGTGATCATAATAGCTCTTCTGGTAACTCTATGCCTGTTTCAATTTATCCCTGATCATTCTGATCTGATTAGAAGTGTCATGTACAAAGTTTGGCCCAATCATTTGCCTCTCCAACCTCGGTCATAGAAGTAGGTGATCTATACCATCGGCCGTACAATGCCTTATTTGGTGCCATGTCCAAACTGGAATGAAAGTTATTATTGTACAAGAACTCTACCAGTGGAAGGTACCTATCCCATGCCTTACCCTGCTCCAGGGTATAAGCTCTCAGCATATCCTCCAGGGTATGAATAGTCTTCTCTGTCTGACCATCAGTCTAAGGATGATAAGCCGTGCTCAGTCTCAACTAAGTGCCGAAAGCTTGCTGCAGTGCTCCCCAGAAGCGAGATATGAACTTCGAGTCCTAATCGCTCACAATGCTCTCAGGCACCCCGTGAAGTCTCACAATCTCCTTCAAATAGAATTGAGCTAACTGCCTGTGGTACAAGTCACCTTCACTGACAGAAAATAAGCAGACTTCGTAAGCCTATCAACAATAACCCATATAG